CAGTCGAGACGTCCGCTGCCGCCACAAAGCGGGCGGCCGCGGACGGAGAAAGGGCAGCCGCCGACAAGGAGCCGGCGCTGCCCGGGTGTCCGCCTGGGGCGGCAGCGGACGGAGGGAGGCTGGACACAGGAACACGGTACCGCTCGAGGTAGTCCTCCTCGCTAGCCTCCGAGTCAGCGGTAGCCAAGTCAGCGGTAGCCGCCCGTGACGGCGGCGACGCCGCGGCAATGCCAGGTATAGGATTTACTGGCAGAAGATAAAAAGTGCCTCAAGCAAAACAAAGCAGGAACAAGCTGAACCGGCAGGTACACAGTCCACAGCGAGAAGCTGCACAAACACACACAAAACACAAGCCCGAAAAGAACCAGCACTGCCCAAGGACCGGCGTGACCCGACCGATGCCGGGGAGGAAGCAGGCGAGCTCGGACCAGCTGCAAGCACCCCAGTGGTGTCGAGCTCTCCGGAGGCACCCGACGTCACAGTGAGGATTTACTGGCAGAAGATAAAAAGTGCCTCAAGCAAAACAAAGCAGGAACAACCTCCTCCTGCCAGTAAATCCTGTAGGCTTCCTCCTCGAGGTAGTCCTCCTCGAGGTAGTCCTCCTCGCTAGCCTCCGAGTCAGCGGTAGCCGAGTCAGTGGTAGCCGCCCGTGACGGCGGCGACGCCGCGGCAATGCCCAAGGACCGGCGTGACCCGACCGATGCCGGGGGAGGAAGCAGGCGAGCTCGGACCAGCAGCAAGTACCCCAGTGGTGTCAAGCTCTCCGGAGGCACCCGACGTCACAGTGAGGGACGGAGACGCCTCGCCAGCTCCGCGCCGATCGTCGGGGCCACTCGAAGGGTTTCCCCCATCGGAGTCGGAGACCTCCGGCGAAGACTCCTCGGGCGACTCGACAAAGTCCGAGGAGGAGCTGTCCTCTGGCTCGAGAAGTGCTTGCGCCCGCAAGGGCGTCATGCGCCTCGCACCAGACAAGAGCGCCTCCAGCGTCAGCTGCATGGTGAGGCGCTGATAGGTGGCGGCGCGTTTGCGAGCCAAGACCTCAGCAGCAGGGCCGTCATCAGGCACAAAGTGCCGACCAAACGCCGCATCCTCAAGAGGCATCGAGCGCTGAGCAATGATGTCCGCCAAATACCAGATGAAGCGGAGGGTGTCAGGATGCAGGGTACCGTCCGTCGAGATGGCAAGAGGGATGAACGCTCGAGGAGGAGTAGTCATGGCATATGCAGCGCGATGTTTGCGAATCTTCTCAGACGCTGCAACATGGAGGGCGTCGAGGTTGACCTCCCCCCACTTGGTCAGGTCGGCAGAGCTACCAATGTAAGGGTGGACCAACGTCACGTCCGCCATCAAGCCCTCGTACTGCTCGGACCCTCGATCGCGGATTCCAGGGATGTGGATATCGCCCTTCATCTTGCGGCCATGAGGATGGGAGGGTACCTGCCGTCGAGAACGAGGATCCCCCACTGTATCGATGACGCTCTGAAGACCAGCTTCGTTCAGCATCGACCGAATCGTACGAGTAAGGTTGTCATGCGACGTGGGAAGCTTGGAGGATCGGCGTTTGCAGGTCTGGAGATGATGTGCAGCAACGGAGGGGTCGAGCTCGCGCTGACATCCATCACATTTCGTCGGACACTGGCAGATCGGCATGCCATGGAGATAGCAGTCGAGCATCTGAGCATAGCGGTGCGGGAAGGCCTTGAGGGGGTAGTAGCTCGAGACTCGCGTCGGAGAGTGGCTCAGGTCTCGCTCAGGAAAATGAGCGAAGATGGTAGACTGCAAGACCCTATCCTGCGACTTGAGCGAGTGTGTCCTGCGGCTGTGCAAGGTGAGGATATCACGCTGCTGATCGGTCAGCGCAGCGCGAGCATGCACATGGCGAGGGAAGACGCGCATGACAAGAGGAGTCACATTTCGCTGCGCAGGGGGAGGAATGAAGTGCTCATGAGACGAGTCGACGAGAGCGCGCAAACCAGGGATGTGTACCACAGATGCCGGGGGGCGTCCTGCGTCATCAGGCACAGCAGCCGGGGCAGGTGGGATCGCCGCGCCATCTGCAGCCGGTGCAGGAGCCTTGACACGACGGTAGAGGATCGCTCCAGCATTATGAACGAAGTCGTGCGCCTCAACGAAGAAGGTCGCCAGAGGATGCTTCTGGGCACGGAGAGATCTCGAGCAGTGAACGTCCAGGCTATGAGGAGAGGTCAGCGTCCGGGACATGAGGGACGGAGACGCCTCGCCAGCTCCGCGCCGATCGTCGGCGCCACTCGACGTGTTTCCCCCATCGGAGTCGGAGACCTCCGGCGAAGACTCCTCCTCGGGCGACTCGACAAAGTCCGAGGAGGAGCTGTCCTCTGGCTCGAGGAGTGCTTGCGCCCGCAAGGAGCCGGGCATCGCCGGCTCCTTGTCGGCTGGCGAGGCGTCTCCGCCCCTCAAGCAAAACAAAGCAGGAACAATCCAATGAAGATTGTGCAGCTTCTCGCTGTGTGCTGTGTGCCAGGAGGTTTAGCTTGTTCCTGCTTTGTTTTGCTTGAGGCACTTCAGCGAGAAGCTGCACAAACACACACAAAACACAAGCCCGAAAAGAAC